AAACAAAAAAAAAAAACACAGTAACTTACAGCACTGGATATGTGGTTTCTTGACCGAGCAGGCCCACGGACTGAATTGTCCTGGTGCTGCAATGCCAGTGCAATGTGCTCATCAACCTGCCGACAGGTTCAAAAATTGAAAGAAAAAGAATTTGAAGTGCATCATCATAGGTGAATACATATTTGACATACACAAAGAATGAGAATAAACCTCTGCAGCTCCAAAAACAGGCAGTTCGCTGTAAAGCTGTTCTTGAAGTTCACGAGCCAAAGCTTCATCTGCTTCAACCTGTCTTGCCCTAGCAACATCATCATCACAAGCATTGTGTTTCAATTGTGGAGATAACTCAGCAACCTCAATAATTTGCTCTAAGTTGTTCGCATTATGATAAGTAGACGTTGGAAGTAACACAACTTCTGGATCGTCAGAGACCGATGTAGAACATTCGCGACTACTTGAGGCCAATCCCTGTTTCTGCCTCTTGATTAGAGTGTTTGCAGTAGAACTAGATCCATTTAGTTGGCCTGGTCGAGCCTGGTGATGGAAGAATGATTCCTTTGAATGTGGAGGGTAAGAACGCTCTAAAGAGATGAAGTCTTTGCCTTTATTATCACCAACTGTGACGCTAACTCCTTTTTTGCTTCTTTCCAAATTATTCACATGATGCTGGCTAGAATATCTTAGGGGCGCCTTTTCTCGAACCACACACAGTTCCTCATCAGGCGACAATACATTCATTTCGCTCGACCGATTATGAGTACTTCTCCATCCACCTGGTTTGTCAGAGTTTTTACCAGCGCCAATGTTGAAAGAACTTGGTCCAATAGCCTTTTCACAAAATTTCATAGAGCTCCTGCAAAATTAAGTTATACTTTAGTTAAATTGTAGTAATAATAACAATAATAATAATATCACATATATATATAATAATTGAAAGTGGAGCATGTCTTCAGGTTTATGCTAAAAATATTAGTATCATACAACTACATATGCATGTTTGCGTGAGGTGTGTGTAACGAGTCTGAATTGATGTCTATATCCATCAGTTTACTGTAAGATAGTATATGTAGATCCACATATCAATATGATGTATCCATAACTGAGATACCCCAAGAAAGTGGTCTACAACAAAAAGATTATTGTCCAACGCCTCGTGTTATAAAAACAATCCAGAATTTCGAAGAGTTTCTGTCCCCATGGCTCCTACCGCAATGGAAGCTGTTAGAAGCTGTGTCGGCCACACATACATACACTGTTCTTTTATGACAAAATGGAACCTACATATGCTCCTTCAAAGTAGGACCTTGGGTGGCATTCTATAATGGAGTTCTTTAACAAAAACAAAGAATTAACATATGATCAGAAATAAAACCAAAAGACAGAAAAAAACATTCAAGATGGTTTTAAGTCCCAACAAAAGCGGCATATTCGCACCAGCTCCTACACTATCCTGTGTTCGCATTAACAAAAAGAAGGGTGGATATTATGTCAACGAAGTGCTGTTGACATAATATCCACCCTTCTTTTTGTTAATGCAAACACAGGATAGTGTAGGAGCTGGTGCGGACCGATAACCTAATACCGATACCGAACCGACCACATTCGGTTTGACTAATATGCAAACCGAAACCGAACCGATAAGAATTTGGTAACCGACTTTTCGGTTACCGAAAATCGGTTCGGTTTCGGTTTATACCGACCAAAACTGAAACAAACCGAAAGAGGGCATGAAATTGAAATGTTAACAGATTACGGACTAACAGAGGGCCAGAGGCATGAAATCTGGAAGACCGCACCAAAGAAGAAAGGCAAGACAGATAGGATGAAAGAGATTAAACAAGTTAAGCCACAGAGTTATCCTCAACCGTGCATTAATAAGAGAGGCAGTCAATTAAAATGAAACAAATAAAACAGAGGCATGAACACTTGAACAGAGGCATAACCAAACTTTCAAACAGAGGCATGAGATAGTAAGAGATTTATGATTCAACAATACTAAAAACATGATCTATAAAGAGAACCAAGTCCCAGCCCTATTTTCGGTGAAGTGGGTCGAGGGCTAGGGCTGAATGAGTGAATTCTGAAGTTTTGTGAAAATTGAAAATGACGAAATTGACAACACTCCCAAGTCCCAGCCCTATTTTCAAGGTCGTCTCTTAATCTTTCCCTTATTTCTCTCCTTAGTCCTTGTAGGATTTTTTTTTTATATATATATTTTTATTGGTTCGGGTGAATTAAAGTTGATGTGATGTGTAAGAATGATTGGTTTGTATTATTAAATAATTATATGAATAATATTAAAGATAGTGGGGTTGAGTTAAAATTGAGTTAAATTTTGAGTTGAAATAAAAATGAGTAAATTAATCCATAAACAATCAATCCCTTAAGCTTTTAACTGGGCTCCGCTCCGTTAACTCTTAACGGCCATCAGGGGCTCTGGTACTAATATTTTAACCAAAAAAAAAAATATATATATATATATATATATATATATTTTTGCAATTTTCAGGATCGAAAGGGCCGAACCCTAATGGGTTCGGAACCGATACCGAACCGATAACATTTCGGTTACCGAAAGTCGGTTACCGATACACTTGAGGCGGTTCGGTTCGGATTTTTTGCTCGTCGGTTCAGTTCGGTTCGGTTCAGTTTTCGGTTTTCGGTCAAAAAATACCAGCCCTAAGCACTTCACCACTTCTAGAGATGGATTCCACTTGACTTTTCTAGACAAGACAACAAATTTTGATATTTTGAAAATGAAAAAAAAAAATGTAAAAACATGAAATCAACTTTTACACCAGCGAACACTCATAAAGCAATCATGCTATGGCCTTTCTTTTTATGCCTTCCTTTTTTCTTTTCTTGCTGGAGACTGTCAAAACAGCAACTAGATGGTTGTCCATTTTTGTAAATAGATAAATCAACAAACCATTTAGTTTTACGCACTCTACTGTGAAGACACGACTCGAAGTTCAGTAACCGCCTTAAGTGACATGTTGAAGCAATTGCTATATTTTTGTTCCATCTTTTACTGCATAAATGTGATTCAGATTGGTACTATTGGAATTTGTTAAACTGACACCTTATGCATGGCTACTTTGTAAACAAGTGCTAATCAATTGCTTTCATGCCTCAAATTTATCTCATTCCAGACTACATTCTACAATCCATTCTACTGGACTGTTCTCATGGGAATTTTTTTCCAGGATAAATTAGAGGAGCAAATCTAAATTTGTTTTTCCAATTGTTAGTGCTTCATACTATTAGAATTGTGACCCAAAAACCTTGTCAATTAGATAAACAAATGTAACTGCATCAGGACAGTAAATGGATAGTAACAAGCTTATGAACATAGACAAATTTCATCAGACATACAAATTAGAAGAATAAACTACATAACATATGAATAAATTACCTGCTATGCAAAGCATTGCTTCTAGAATCATCCTTTGATGAGCAAGAATGAGTCACCACTCCTTTGCCCTTTCTTACATAAGCATCGTTGTCGTCAGCAACCAATTCCCTGATATCAAATGGCACCGGTTGTGGACAAGATGGCTTAGAGCTCTTATTACGATGTGCAAAAGCTATTGACCCATTATTATTGTGTGCACTGGCTACGGAGCTATTGTTATCATGTCCAACACTTATAGAGCTATTGCTATCCTTTCCATCCAACTGCTTGATCTTAGCTATGTTATTTGGAGATATACATCCATTTCTAACCAGTCTCTTTTGCTTATTTATTCTAGGTGGGGCAGCAGCATCACGAGATAGAAAACCACTACCAGGTTTCTCCTGAACATTATTGCCAATAAACCCCACTTCTCCACGAACAGCATTACTTGAACCAACTCCACCCACATCCATTTTTGCACCAGCATGTGATGCTGTTAGAAAATTCGTCCGGCTAACAACGGAAGAACTCACATTAGATTTCCCAATAACGGGTCCACATGTGTCTTTTCCAGTCAAATCCACAAAACTATCATCGGGACTAAAAGATTCAGGAATACAAGATGGCCTCAACGACTGTTGAGAGTGATTATTAATATAATCATGACTACGGTAACTGGAGTTCTTCTCTGTTGCTCCTTTCTGGAATAGGCTAGCATTTCTCAAGGGAGATGAACTTGAAAATGAAGAAATTGTAGAATTAACTGGACATCGAGGACTATTTGAGATGCTAATGCATTTTTTAGGCCGCAGGGATAGAGCTCGACTTCCACTATCGACAATCATCGGTTGATCTTTAGAACCATCTTTGATAACATTCTGCTTTTGTGGATAGAGGGGTGGTGATAGACTATGATTCTCAACCTCAATAATGTTTTTACCCTTGATCCTCTGCGTCGTTAACCTATCAGGAGTGTCGGGAACATCAACTATGTGATCAATGTCCATCTGTTCCATAATCTGTAGAAAAAAACAAGAAACCGGATCGTAGGTTAGTAAAATATCAGTGACCAGTGGTTAACTAGTTTTACACTCAAAAAGCACTTTTGACAATTCACCATAGCCTCACCCTTTCTGAGATCATATAGATTTTCAAGAATTGGAACTGTGAAGTTCATCAAATGTTCTCCACTTATAAGCAATAAATTTAACACATGAACATGAAGCAAAGAAATAAAAAAAAATCTGATTTGTTATTCAGGAAACTTGAATGATTATGGTCATACCTCCCATAGACCACATAAAAAGGAGAAGATGACAAATAAAGATGAAATTTTCAATCACAACCTCGGGTATCAATGGTAAACCACCACACTGGACATAGCTTGAGGAGCATAACAAACCTAGCAGCTTTACGCACAAAAACCGAAATTACAAACACAACAGAATCGGCAACATATCACATACAGAAATAAAAATCAGCCCACCCCAAAGCCAAAAATGCATAATAAAAAAATAAAAGCTGAAACAAAATCAATCCTAAACAAAATCAATCCTAAGCCAAGCCCCCGCAAAAGAGGAAAAAACAGTAAATTGAAATATACGAATAAATAAATAAATTCCGAAACAGGTATTGGAATCCAAACCGTCTAAGGTTTCTGCAAAAAACACTTCTAAAACCAATTACAAAAATAATTAATACAACAAATCTAGGTAGATAAATAAAATGCCGAATAATAAAAGAAGCAAGAAAGCACTCCGCACCTGTTTCTTCATTGGATTCTCCGCGAACTGCAATTCCAATGGCAGCTGATGATAAGAGAACCACGACAACAAACTACAGAGCGAGGGTTATAACTATACGACCGAAAGGCCATGGTTTATTTCGAAATAAAGACACTGACCATTTTAAAAAATTGTTTATATGAAATTACATTTAATTATCTTTTATCTAGATATCTCACATCGGTTTTTGAGGAGAACGAATCATGCCTTATAAGAGGGTGTGGATACCTCAACCTACAGGACGTGTTTTGGTGAGTTAGCTCCCAAAGGCAAGACCGTGCGGGTGAGTGTGCCCAAATCGGACAATATCCTACAAACATTCATTTCTACTAGTTTGTCTCTAGAGATCTTCTATAGTCAGGTTCCTGTTGTACCTATTTAACATCAGGTAACCTCCCATTTCACCGTTGGATTGACTAAAAAATGAGAATCAACGATGGATTGAAGGGTACAAGGCAAAAAAGAATATTGGTAGCCTTGTACTCTGTCTCGTACCCTTCGTACTTGTAAAAACCTATTATACCCTTCGTACCCCTTGTACCTATTTTATTTATTCTCAAGTCCCCACATACTTGTATAAATTATATAACAATCCTACAAATTTAAAACAATTTCATCACAACCTAAAAATATATTTTAAGATTCCAATTCGTCTTCTTCATTTGGGGAAAAATAAATAAAAAAAAAATTGGACAAAACAAAACATTCTTCCACTTCATCTTCTTCCTCATTGTTCTTCTACATACAAATCCGACCAACTTCTTCATCTTCTCCTCATGATTCAATATCAGTACAATATTATTACCCAAACATATATTCGAACGATTTACGATCAATATGTCACTTGTCGATAGAATTTTGTATGTAGAGATTTCAATCGCACGCACGATTCATTGAGGTAACTTTATTTCGAGTGTGAAATATGTTTGGATATTCTTGGCATGCTTATAATACAAAACCCTTGTAGTGGTGTTATTAACATAGGTTGTTTTGGTGAAAATTTTTGCTTTGGTTGCATATCCTTTTATTGTAATTGATTGTTACGAATAATGATTTGATGTGAGGATGTGGATTTGTTAACTAGCGATTGATATTTATTGATATGTTGGTTTTGTTGTATTCTTAAAAGCACATTACGTGTTTGATGTAATGCCTCACTCGGGAAATGTTGGCATGAGTTTTTGGGGACTAGGGTTCAACTGAAAAAGAGACGAATTGAATGTGATATAGTATGTGAGGTCTTTTGGGAGTGTGAGGAAAATATTGATCATATCTTATTTCAGTGTAGGGCTATTAAGAACTGGAAACAGAATTACTCCAAAGGGCTATGGATGAGTGGATTATGTTTACTTATGTGAGAAATGGTGAAGTACCAAGGCTAGATGTTAGGGGGCTGAGGATGAGTCAGGGGTCAGTTGAGAAGAGTGAGGATAATGAGAGGGGTTCATGCAGACACAGTAGGTTAGGTTTGAGGAGTGGGACTTACATCTATGGGACTTCATTGGAAGTTCGGTGGAGGCTTATATTGTGTGTGCTCTTTGGGTACTCAAATATGCAGCCAATAATAACTGGAAAAAATGTGATCTGCCATATGGACAACAGGGAAGCTGTCATCTGGTGCTGTGGGAATTTGGAATCATGGGATATGAGAGTTGCAGCTGTGGTCGAATGCAAGTCTTTGTGCTCTTCTGTTCATTCTTGTAGTTTTATTTTTTATAAGGATACTTGTATAGTTTTTGCTTGTTTAGCCAAGGTGGCTATGCAAGGAAATTTGTAATCTTGTTTCCTATGTCAACTGTAAAGGTGTATGGCTGTTGTTTTATTTTCTTGCCTTTGCAGACCCAGATCTATTTAGGTGTCGTTGATGTAAAACGATCTTTGTGAGCTTAATATATTTTCTGGTTTGAATGTGGAGAAAAAAAAAAAGAACCAGCAAATGAAGCAACAAGAACACTACCTCTTATTATATAACATATTCATCTTATTATGTAACATGTTCATCTTATAATGTAACATGTTCATCTTATAATTTAGCATGTTCATCTTAATTTTTAACATGTTCAATGGATTATGCAACATATTCATCTCATAATGCAACATGTTCATCTTAGTATGTAACATGTTCATCTTATTATCTAACATATTCATCTTATTATATAACATAGTCATCTTAATTTTCAACATGTTCAATGGTTTAAGCAACATATTCATCTCATAATGTAAAATGTTCATCTTAGTATCTACAATGTTCATCTTAGTATGTAACATATTAATCTTAATATATAACATATTCATCTTAGTATGTAACATGTTCATCTTATTATCTAACATATTCATCTTATTATATAACATAGTCATCTTAATTTTCAACATGTTCAATGGTTTAAGCAACATATTCATCTCATAATGCAAAATGTTCATCTTAGTATCTACAATGTTCATCTTAGTATATAACATATTCATTTTAATATATAACATGTTCATCTTAGTATGTAACATGTTCATCTTATTATCTAACATATTCATCTTATATAACATAGTCATTTTAATTTTCAACATTTTCAATGGTTTAAGCAACATATTCATCTCATAATGCAAAATGTTCATCTTAGTATCTACAATGTTCATCTTAGTATATAACATATTTATCTTAATATATAACATATTCATCTTAGTATGTAACATGTTCATCTTATTATGTAACATGTTCAATTGTTCATCTACAGGTTCATCTTAAGATATAACATATTCATTTTATTATATAACATACTCATGGTTTTTGTACATGGTTTTTATCATATATTGATTGCACCATGGAGTTACCATAAATTGATTGTGACCAACATGTTGGTTTATGTGCTCGGACGTGAAACTCTTGCGAAACCACCCATTGATGGTCGTTGTAGCAGACTCGATTCTCTCAATGTTACTTGCAAAACGAACAAAGAGACCAAGATGTTTCTCGTCAACCAAATAATCGATTAAAAACTCATCCAGTTTTGGGGTCCAATGTAGGTCGTACAAATAGTCGACCTGCACTACACCAAAACTGGGAGCCATCACAATTTTAGATCTTTCAATTATAATTATTTTGAAAACTCAAGTGTTTGTGTTGATAGTTCTACGAATGTGTTTGTGTTAAGTGTAGTGGGGGTGCTTAAATAGAAATGATTTGGCCTTCTTAGCAAAGGCCGCAAAGATGAAAAAAGACATAAGATATGGTCTTCCATGACATCAAATGGAATGAATTCATCTTTCCAGAAAAAGCTGAAAGGTAGCTATAGGCATGCATTGAAATGTCATATCATGTAACTTTGAGTAGTCATTCGGTGCATATGGATTGAATAGCAAATAATTGGTAGCAATAGTTGGCTCACCAATTAAAATACATCATATAGGTGCAAGCATCACTAAAAACAAAATTACTAATAGGTTCAATCCATCGCCTCAACATCTGATATGTGACAGGCTAAATACATCAGTTACGAAAGTGGTTTTTTTCCTTTGAAGTTATCAACATTTGCCTGAACAGTCCTAAAGCGATTGGAATCACTTTCAACATCTGGGTGGACCGTCTCCCTGTCTACCTTACCAAAAATTATCTGCAGTTTCGACCATTGCGGGTCTCCCATAGTTTGGTACGCTAGACTGATAGGTTCATCCTGTAAAATAAGTAATGTCAATTACAAAAGTAGATAACGTTTAAATGTATGAATACCTTCCAATGTGATCACGATACTTACAGTAAATACCCTCTTCCATGCCTCTTTTGGTCCCCACATGAGCCCACTCTCACAGCAGTAGTTGATACTATAGTTTGTAATCATCTCCCTCATCACCTTATGCCTTCCCCTAAATTCCTTAAACCTACACACACACTCTAATGGAGTATATGACTTACCGAACTGAATGGTCAACATATCAGCGCTTACCGTAAACAATGAGTACTCGCCTTTTTTATTGCCTTCGAGTAACAACTGCAAAAGTGGTTGTGCTGATACCAACAAGCATGCGAACGACTCGTCAACCTCAACTGTCCATTTTTGGGTAAACAAATATTGTTTTTGCTCTGGCGGGAGGTGGAACTCTATAGCTGTTTCATGTCGAAATTGGACAAACAGTTCATATGCTTTAAACTATTCCACAATTCGTTATTAACATAGTTAAAACACCCTGTCCATCCAACATAATCCAGAATGTAAATTCATTTATCATGCAAATTGCTCTCATATCTGTAATGTACTTGAGACAAGGCATGAATGGAAATAAAGTTCTAAAGTGACTGTTATTGCTCTCAACTCTGTTCGTCAGAAGGTTGAAGAAGCTCAAGTTCTAAAACAGAAGACACAAGAATATCCAGTTCGTACTAATTTAGGTTGCTGCCACAAAATTGCTTACAAGTTCTAAAACAATACAATATGCAGTACTTTGTTTTCTTAAGCTTAACATACAATATGCATCACTTTGTTTTCTTAAGTTTTGACAACTAATAGGCCTTATAAGATTTAAGGATCTGCAGATTACTAGTTTCAGAGAGATTAAACACATGAATAAGGAAAAAACAGATACACAACAACAAAGAAGCTTCATCTATAAGAATCCATATAATTCTTTTCCCAACATTAGCCAATGAATAGGCCCAATCAAAAAATCTTAGGCATGATCAAATCAAAGGTAATGAGCATGATACATTAAACCACAAAACAAAGAAAGAGAGCATGTAAACTCGTGGCTAAATTAACAAGCAAGTACCTCACTTTCTCGTATATTTCCATCTAATATGCATGCCTTCATATATTTTTCAAACAGAGAGCAAATATAGTTATCGGCCATATTTCAATTACAGAGTCGAGCATAATTTTACCTTCTAGGGTGTCGGTGTCTGTGAAAGTGACTAGGGGGACTATCGGCTCTTCAGATGTAGTTCGAAATGAAAGGTACGCACAAGAAATTGAAACCTTTTTGCCTCAGCCTGAACCACAGAAACCTAA